CGCATAGGCATGTACGACTCCACAATATCCCGGTACCTAAGGCATCCGTAATAAAGGGTCCTGGGCTCTTGCAAATGTGGGTTGGGGCCGTATGGCAGCCAGTTTACCTGTTCACAATTGCATAAAACATTTATTCAAACAATTCGAGTATTCTAAATAACTTTCAAGTAAATGTAATAAAATAACTTAACGTACCTCGGCGGCTGTGAGTCTATCAAGCTGCCTACGGAAATGCTTGAGGCGCTTATCTGAGTTATCTGGGACGGGGGTCCTCCACAAGGCTGATCGGGCCAAGCTGTCAGGCTCGGAGGCCATACGCGAACCGGCGGGTCGGAAGGTGGGGAAGTACTCGTATATCCAGGACTGCATGAGAGTCAACCAGCCCGCCACTCCCCCCGACTCCCCCCTGCTGGCCATACCTAAATGTCTGAATAGGTATGCCAGTGCGGCCGAACCCCACGAGTAAGTCCCAACACTCTGCAGGTCCTCCATCATCTCGTGCAGGATTTTGGGACTGACCCTGTTACCACTCTTGTCTATAAACAAGGTGGTAGCGAGCAGCACCCACAGCCAGCCAATCGCCACATGCTCAGCCGACCGACCTGCGCCATTCTTCTGCAACGCAGTAAAAACGGCTTCATTCGTCACCGAGCCGTGACCCCAGAACTTCGCTATCAGCGTTGCCTGGTCCACCCCCAGGAGCTCCATGCAATGCGCTTGCTGTGTCAAGGTGTCGGGGTCCCCTGTGACTACCGTACCGACGATAGGAACCCCCAATATCGCCCTCACGTCGTGTAACATGATACTCATTTCACCAAAAGGCAGGTGAAACGAGTTGGTATCCGGCTGCCAGCGCTCCACAAATGCTGAAATAAGTGGAGTGTCGATGTGGTCATGCATGTTGGACGCCAAATGTGACAGCCCGGTCGGACGGATCAGATCAAGCGGAGCCTCAGCCATCCGTACGAGCCACTCCCTCAAAACACCGTTCGCTGACATCCTGTTTTGGCACTTCAACGTGCCTCTAACATGTCCTGTCCAAATCCGGGAGGCTACGTGCCCTAGAAAACTAGGGATAACACTCCCGTCAAAGGGGCCACCGGGTACTGGGGCTTTAACAAGCCAGTCGTCACACTTAGTGCGTTTGCTACTCGCCCCTGTATTATAATAGCACAATCAATATATATACGGCATACTGTGATTGATTGTATCAATGATGCGTTATTATTAAATAAAATAATATCTAATGGTAAACAACAATAAATACGTAAATCATTTACCTGAAGATGAGGCAACGCTCGTATAACGGCCCCCAGCCTGTCGTGGAGGATCAACTCGGCCGAGTCGTTTACCTGGACGTGCCTGTGGTTGGGTCAGTGGCTGCTCAGCTGCATCAAAGTCATCATCATAAGCCTGCTCGTCATCATCATCTGTCTGCTCGTCATCATCATAGGCCTGCTCGTCATCATCATAGGTCTGCTCGTCGTCGTCATCATCATCATCATCATCATGCCTCGGACTCCTGACTGTCGACTCAATGGAGTCCCGCCGACAAACAATACGTATAGTCGGGAGATGTCCAGAACTGCTAGGCCTCACTGACAAGGACTGCTGACCACTCCAACTGCCAGGCATGAATGGGCCAGACTGAGGCATGAGTGGGCCAGACTGCTGACCACTCCAACTGCCAGGCATGAGTGGGCCAGACTGAGGCATGACTGGGCAAGACTGCTGACCACTCCAACTGCCAGGCATGAATGGGCCAGACTGAGGCATGAGTGGGCCAGACTGCTGACCACTCCAACTGCCAGGCATGAGTGGGCCAGACTGAGGCATGACTGGGCCAGACTGCTGACCACTCCAACTGCCAGGCATGAGTGGGCCAGACTGAGGCATGACTGGGCCAGACTGCTGACCACTCCAACTGCCAGGCATGAGTGGGCCAGACTGAGGCATGACTGGGCCAGACTGCTGACCACTCCAACTGCCAGGCATGAGTGGGCCAGACTGAGGCATGACTGGGCCAGACTGCTGACCACTCCAACTGCCAGGCATGAGTGGGCCAGACTGAGGCATGACTGGGCCAGACTGAGGCATGACTGGGCCAAACTGCTGACCACTCCAACTGTGAGGCATGAGTGGTCCAGACTGAGGCATGACTCGGACTGGGCCAGACTGAGGCATGATTGGGCCAGACTGCTGATCACTCTGCATCGGACTAACATGATGTATCGAACTACCAGCCTGGGCAGTCTGTACCCTGCGAGCATGAAGGCGCATCTGTTCCCTCTCCCGCCGAACGGAAGCATTCACATTACGAGTGGATGTGTGTCGGGGTCCAGAACCCTCGAACTCGGGAACATACTCATTAGCCTAAATCAAAAATTTTAAACTAATAATTAGTATACATATTAATAAATTTGTTTCTTAATAATATATTATTAATATTTTTTCATTAATCATATATATAATAATATATATGAAATTAATTAATTAAATTGCTAGTATTTATACATTTTTTAATTATCTATTATTTAAGTAAACTAAAATAAATTATATATTAAATAAACTAAAAAAACAAAAATAAAATAAACTATATATTAAATAAATATATATTAAATATATATATAAATATATATATCTATATATATATTTTAAAAACTGAAATAAATATATATTAAATATATATATATTATATATGAAATATATAAATATATATCTATATATATTTTAAAAAATGAAATAAATATATATTAAATATATATATATAT